AGAATACTAGGGCTCAAAGACTCTATAGGCAACTGGACTTTTGACCTACAGAACATACGGAACATAATCTTAAAACAATTTATAGACATTTACACTACTAAATTACCCTTTTGTTCCAGACATGTTACGCGTAATCCAAGCACTCTCAATATCCTCAGTGACAGAGATAGAACGTTTCTTAGTAGAGACTTAAATACCCTTGAAATTCATAAAGCAATAAAGTCTTTTAAGCCGCTTAAAACACTCGGACCATATGGTATTCACCCAATATTTTTCTAGAAATATTGGGCGAACACAAGCCCCTCAATTATCAACACCTATTCACAAGATTTTTAAACCCTTACAATTGACCCTAAGATAAATAAGACATATGTATCCCATCCCTAAGATAAAAACCCCACAATACATCTCCCACTTTAGACCTATTAGCCTTTGTAATACGATTTACAAGACAATTACCAAAATTATTGTTAATAGGATACGACCATTCCTTAATAAAATAATTAGCCCTAATCAGTGTAGCTTCATTCCGGGAAGACATGCTATTGAAAATATAATAATAGTTGAGGAAGCTATTCACTCCTTTAAAAATAATTCATGATCCAAAGGGACAATGATGCTTAAACTAGACTTAGAAAAAGCATTTGATCGCCTGGAATGGTCGTTTATTCTAAACTCCCTACATGCCCTCAACTTTCCAGTCAAATTGATCACACTAATTATGAATTACATCTCAACATCATATACCTCTATCATAGTCAATGGTCAACTGACAGATTTCTTTGAACCCTCTCGTGGCATATGCCAAGGGGGCAGATAAACTTTAAAAAATAAAAAATCCTCTTCTCAAAGAATGTGGATAGTAACACCCAGAGCACGCTCTCCACAATGTTAAACATTAAGACAACAAACCATGTAGGAAAGTATCTTGGCTTCCCAATTACCAATCTATAACCAAAAAGCTCTGACTATCAATTTATCCTTAATTTAATAAATACAAGACTAAAAGGTTGGAAAGCAAAGCTCCTAACCCAAGCACGAAGAACCACCTTTATTCAGTCAGTTCTGTCAGCTATACCAACACACTCAATGCAACTCAATTACCTACCTACGTCTACTAGAAAACATATAGACCGCATTCAATGAGACTTCCCATGGGGATCAACTGCAGAAAAAAGAAGGGTTCACCTTTTTAATCGAGATACTGTAATATCCCCAAAATAAGAAGGAGGCCTGGGTCTTGTCAGTTCCAAGAGAAAAAACCTAGCTCTTCTTTACAATATCATTTAGTGCCTCTACTATAGCCCAAACAGCCTAAGGGCACAGGTGGTAGGTCAAACATATCTGGCAAGACAGAAACATAAAGATTTTATCGCAAACACAGTTGACTCTTATGTGTGGAAGAGCCTTGCTAAAGCTCACCCCTTCTTTGCAAAAGGATTAGCTTGGAATGTGGCAAATGACAACCATATTAATCTTTAGAAGGAAAACTGGATCATTGCCCAGCTACCCCTAGAGGCTCTCATCCAAGGTCTAGTAACAAATGCAGATTTGGGGAAAATCTCTCACATATATTACAAAGAAGCTCTTGGGACCTAAGCCAGTTATCCTTCGAACTTCCTGCAGACATTCGGTCACTAATTCACAGCACCTACCTACCATTCTGCAAACCAACCACTGACGGCTCCTTCAGTACCAAGTCAGCTTACTCTTTAATCAGGCAATGCCTATCTACACAAACACCAAGGGAGTTCAAACACACTTGGATATGGAAAGCCAACTACCATAATAAACTGAAACACTTCCTTTGGCTACTAATCATAAAGCGCTTACCTACAACATCCATGCTATACTACAGAAAAATAATTCCATCCCCTCTTTGTCCCCACTGCAATGTTGTGGAAGATACAAAACACATCTTCCTCCATTGCCCATGAAGCAACACCATCTGGAACATTCTGCATATAGACTTTGATCCACCAAATTTCAGTTCGTGGGTTAGAGAACTATGTACTTCCAATAGCTCAACAACTCTACCAAACCAAATTCAAGTCCCATTGTCCATTAACACCCCCATTACTCTATGGTATATTTGGTTACACCTCAATAATAACTTGTTAAAAAAAAACAACCGCAACCATCACTAGAAACACACCAATTGCCCAAGTAATTGAATACCTATGCCTCACAAACCAACATGCAGCTCAGCAACAAACCACAAGAATTCAAGTACGGTGGGAGCCACCACCACTAAACATCTATAAACTCAATATAGATGGTGCACATAGAAAAAACTTCAACTAAGGAAGAGCAGGAAGAATCATTAGGGATTCCCATGGAAGTTGGATAGCAAGGTTTTCCAGTTGCATTGTGGCAACTACGCCACTCCAAGTTGAACTTACAGCCCTACTCAAAGGATCGGAGCTGACCTTTACTAAGAACTTAATGCCACTGATAGTGAAAAATGAATGTCAGGTATTGTCCATAATTATAAAATCCCATATGATTAATAATGCTTACACAAATTTACTATATGATTACATGTTCCTCATCGTAGCAATGGACTAGCCACCAGTCAATCACATATACCGTGAAGCTAACTCAGTTGCCCATATTTTAGTAAATTATGCAAGTACATGGATACTGGAAGGAAATGCTGAACGGGAAGACATCTTTTGGAGCACAATGCCTTTATTTACTTTCATTACTTATCGCAAAGACTTGTTAGGAGCTATATCGTTAAGATTTGTTTCATGTTCTAGTAACACTCTTTAATTTCCTGCTTTAATACATCTCGTCGTTCGCAGCAAAAAAGAGGATTACGATGTGAGACAAATTGTGATCCTTTACCAAGAAGAAAATATTTTGCTGGAACCCCTTAGTTCTACAATAAGTTGTACCTCTTGAAGCAAAGAAAGTAATAAGTCGTGCCCATTGTTGCATCATATTTTGCACAAGTCAAAATAATATACAACTTATAGTACTCTACAAGGTTAATTAGAGTTTAAAGTTGTCACATATTATTTAAGGTATACTAAGACACCTACACTATATTATGTAATGTACGCTTAGATCATAGTCTGCGAAATTATTGAGATTCAAGGTAAAGGTTCAAATTATATCAAGGGGAAGGGGTTAGACATCCCTCAAAATCCATAAAATGTGATTCTGATGGACTCGATCAAATAAATGAGGGATTAGGTAAAGAACAATTAATTTAATATTTACAAAGTATTACAAAAGTGATTTTAAATGAAGAGTGATTGAATGTGAGAATCACATGTTAAAAAAATATGAATACTTATCTGCAACGGAAAAGGTCCCCCCCCCCTCGGATACNAAAACATTTATATGCATCAAAATAGAGTCATAAAACTGAGTTATGATGTGCAATGAAATGAATATGACTGAGTACTAATTTTTTAATTTAAAATAATAATTCACAACAATATGACCTCTGTGGATCCCAATAATACTGGCACATAGCCTCAACATGATTTTTAATATGCTTTTCAACTCAATTTCTTTAACACATAAAACCGCATGGAAAATGCCAAGATTATTTAACTATAAAATTCCACAGAAATAATTATGTCACAATTTCTAAAGTGCGCGCCCACACGCCCGTCACCTAGCATGTGCGTTAGGGGTGGGCGTCGGTCGGTTCGGTCGGTTATTATAAAAGTACGGTTCGGTTTATCGGTTTTCGGTTTTGTAATATTAATAACCAAATCAAACCAAAGTATTTACGGTTCGGTGCAGTTTTTTCAAAGTTCGGTTCGGTTATTTCCGGTTTATTTTTTCTATTTTAAACGGTTGTAGGAACAACAAGTATTTACGGTTGGTAGGAACATCAATAAACAAAGCTGGAATTTATTTGTTTTTCGTCCAGCCCAACAGCAAATTGTCATTTTGACTTTTGAGAAAGACAACCCAGCAAATTGTCATTTAGTTGTTCGTCCAACCCAGCAACAGAGAAAGACAGTGGTAGACGGTAGTCTCACACAAGTTTTACTGACAATAACACTCTAATTTGAAACAACACTATAAATTAAACCGAGAATAGACTATAGAGAACAAGCACACACAGAGCAGGGAGGCCTTCAGTGGCATCAGTGCAAACAGAACACCTAAGTAGCAAAATACCGCACAGTCCAGCAGTGGCAAACTAGTCCAAAACAGTTTAATAGAATGGCAAATCTAGCAGCTACCAAAGTCCAAAATAAGTCTAGAAATACCATCACCAAACAACAAAACAGTGGCAAACTAGTCACAAGCCACAAGCCACAAGCCACAAAGTAAGTCTAGAAAATGATACTTAAAGCCTTAAATACGAATCATTGGATGAGGAATAAGACACTTCTTAATATGCTTCACTAAGCCATAAGTGCCATAATATTTTGGATGACAATTATAAACTCGGCCACAATGAAGGCACTTTGCTTTGCGGGCTTCTTCATTTACTTTAACTAGCTCAAAATATTACCAAATAGGCGATCTAGCTTTATGACCACGAGGCATAGTTAAACCTACAAAAAAAAAATAGAAAATTTCACAAGTTAATAAAATATTTTTAATTATAAATAACAAAATAATATCATAAAACAAGCAAATCTTTAAACTTACCACTTGTTCAAACTATGCATCAACAATGCTATTATATCTTTCAACAATGCAAGTTTCTCTTCCGCTCGTTGCCATATCTAAATATAATTTGATAAAGTGTGTCAATTAAACTTACAAAGTAAACTAATTTTCAATAAAACACTCATATAGCGTAAAATCTTACCAAGTTCAATTTGCTCAAGAAACTCCAAATCTTCTTCAACATTAATAGGAGTACCCTCACATCTAAACCAATCTTGAACACAAATAAGACTTTTCACCAACCGAGGAGTCAATGAACTCCTAAATGAATCAAGAATGCGGCCACCAGTGCTAAATGCACATTCCGATGCAACACTTGAAATTGGAATGGCTAACACATCATGAGCTAGCTCGGATAGAATAGGAAATTGAGGCGCATTAATTTTCCACCAATCTAAGATTTTAAAGTCATTAGAATCATTAGACAACTGCTCTTGTCCTTCACCAATATATCTTTCCAACTCAGATTTAGCACCTACACTTCTAGAGTCTTCCTTTTGCCTTTTCAACAATTGCTTTGTTCTCACAGATTTTGTTCTCACATTTTCACTAGATGGCTCAAATGTGTCATAAGATGAAGTAGATTTAGATGGAGATGATTGAAGATAACATCCTTTGGAGTATTTTTTTTATACTCCCCAAACAAAGAATTTAAATAAGCATCCACTTCGGCAGATAATTTCTTCCCTGGTCCCTCCCCGAACATTTTCTCAAGTGCAAAACCAACATACTCTAATTTATTATGAGGATCTAATACAGAAGAAATGAATATCATTTTATTCATCTTTTCCGGTTCACCCCAATATTTTTTAAACTTTTCTTTCATCTTCCCTGACATCTTACTCAAATTAGTATCATCACTAGCTAAACAAGCTTTCAAATGACTATCAAGCTCACATATATCCTCAAAATGACAATTAGAAGTAACATAACGTGAACCTGAAATTTTTTCGGTGAGCTCGTGAAATCTTTCAAGAAACTTTATCACGTTTCTCACATTCACCCAATCATCACATACAAATGGACCTGCAATATTCCCATCTTCACAAACATGCGTACAAAGATGAGTAGAAAATCCATCATCAAAAAGATGAAGCTTGTCAAAGGCCTTCTCAAAGTTTTGTGCCGTTTCTAACATCAAGTAGGTGGAATTCCACCTTGTAGGAACATCCAAACACAATATTTTGCTACATTCTACCTCTTGATGTGCACAACATTCCCTAAACTTTAAGGACCTTTGCGGAGATGATCTCACATACCTCACAGCTTGTCTAACACGTTTTACAGAAACATCAATTTCCTTCAAACCATCTTGCACAATTAGATTAAGTATGTGAGCCATGCATCTCACATGAAGATGCTTACCACTCATCGAATTAGTTTTCCACATATCTAGTTGTTTGGACAATTCTTTGACCGTGACATCATTCGAAGAAGCATTATCAACAGTAACAATGAATACCTTATCCAATTTCTATTCAAGCAAACAATTACCAATAACTTTTGCCATTTCGTCACCCTTATGACTAGAGATAGGGCAAAAATTTAGTATTCTTTTATGCAACACCCAATCTCTATCAATAAAATGACCCGTCAAACACATATAGTTAATTCTTTGTAATGAAGTCCATGTGTCTGTGGTAAGGCAAATTTTTGGTTTTACTTCTCTGAAATTTTTCATTAGTGTAAGCCTTTCTTCATTGTAAACTTGAAAACAATCCCTTGTAATTGTCCTACGAGAAGGAACATTAAATAGAGGTTGGGCTATGCTCATAAACTTCGTAAAGCCTTTCTTTTCAACAAAACTAAAAGGTAATTCCTCCGTAATTACCATCTCAACTAAAGCCCTCCTAACTAGTTCTTGTTCAAATTTCCAAAGCACCACACCATTAATTTGCCCATCCTTTTGTAAACACAATTGTGTTTGAGTATTATCAACTTTTCGTGGTATTTTTGGACACTTCTTTAAATGAGTATTCAATGATGTTGTTCCATTCAATCGTGAATCAGCCTTATAATCACGACCACAATATCTACACTTTGCTCTATCACCTCCATTATCATCTTTAAACTTTTCAAAATGATCCCAAGCAGTTGATCTACATTGTACAGATTTTCTTTTTTTTTGGCCTTGACTAGTTTCAACTGAATTTGTAGGTGAAGATGTGATTTCGCTTTCAGATGAACCCACCCCACTTACTCTACTTTCAACTTCTGCCATCTATAGAAAATCGAATGAAAAAAGAGACATTAGAATGAGTTACTTTGAATAAGTGTTAGACATAATTGTTTATAATGTAACTTGAGAGTAGTATAATTACATGGTATATGTTGGCGTTTGACTTGATAGGGAGTTAAATACCTCAATTTGACTTTTGTATCCTGTTAGTAGTAGTGGAAGAAAATAAATAAGTAATGATTAAAAAGTTAGTTTGATAGAAAAACGTCATACTGAAGTTTAATTTTGAATTGTTAAATAAATTTGGATTTTCAAATGTTGCGAAAGACTGAGAGCCTTATAGAATAATATTATTGCTGGAATTTTTGGGAAGTTTTGAGATGGGAGTGCTTATATAAGTTGGGTGTTGAGATCAAGGATTACTTATCATCGGCCCAAACATAAAGTATAACTTGGGCCAACTTGGGCCTCTTATTTAATGTACAGATTAGTCCATTATATAGAGATATACACTGTAATAGCATCTCTGATTTTTCAATTGATTTTTACAGAGAACAAAAATCGGTTCTCTCATTTCTCTCTCTATCTTCTTCCTCTCAAACCCTAACCATCATCTCTACGATTTCTATATTTTTGTATGTTTTCATTGGGTCAGGGTAATGCAACTCTTTGAAAGTCCAGTTTTTTGAAGCAAAAAAACTTGAGACAATTTAGAAAACTGGAGTTCAAGTTCAACTGTAGGGACTGTCACTCCAAATAGATAGACAGTCGGAACTTATATAAATGAGGTAAAGAGTAATTAGCTGGAGCTTTATAGGATTGAAAAGTAGGGAGAAGTGCAGGTTCTAGAATGGTTATTTTATAGGTGAAAGGAGTTGTTTACTGGCTCCAGGAAATTAAAATGCAAATCTGGTCAAAGTACACGGGACGATTCTGGTGTACACAAAAGATTAAGACATTTTCTTTATTCATAACTCAGAAGAACTTCCACTAACCTGAGAATGAAAGATGAGCGACGAGCTGAGGAAGAAGGCGTCACAGTTGAGTTGAGGAAGAAGGCGCAGAACTCGCAGGAACTCAGAAGAAGTCGCAGCAGTCGCACAGCAAGAACCGAAGAGGCGAACTTTTCAATTGATATAGGTTTAAGAACCCTAAATCTAATTCTTTATTTAGGTTTGGGAAATGGAAAATGGGAAGTGACTAAGTGTAATGTGTATTAGTGATTTAGTGAGTTGTAACCAATGGGTTTGGACTTTGGGTATTAGACAGAGACAGACTATCAATAAGTTTGGATTTGAATAAACTAAATTGGGCTTCAAAGTTCAAATAGATATTGGGCTTCAGCCTAAAATGGGTAATAACTAAATAACTAATACCCAAAATTTTGGTTATTCGGTTAAACCGAAAACCGAAATACCAAAACCGTAAACCACACCGAAAAACCGAAAATTAATAATTTAAAAACCGTGCACCGACCGAAAAACCGATTAAACCGAAACCGAAAAATCAAAATTCACGGTTCGGCCGGTATTATGCCCACCCCTAGATACTCCCTTGTTTTTAAACGGCTCAATGGATAGGTTATCCACTCAAAATTTTACATGCGGTATTTTAATTCACACCCAAACCTTTTAATCCAAACCAAACCAGATTTAATTAATCGATCAATTACCCTACCCGTATAACTTAATCCATTTCTTAAAAACACCTTAATTTTACTTCACTTATTAATTAGGGATATATCTTCTTCTCGATCTCAACAAGCTACTCATAGATTTACTGCTAATTCTGGTGTAATCCTGGAAGACCAAGTTAGGGTTTGTGTCTCATCCATCTTTCACCATTCAATTCCCAAAATATGAGCCAGGGATCTTCGAGTTCATCATATGGTTCGAGGAGGAAATGCTGTTGTGAAGTTGCTGCTAGCCAATTCACTGCTTGGACTCCAATAAATGAAGAGAGATGATTTAACAAGTGTTTAATGCCTAAGGTAAATTTTATAAAACTTGTTTGTGTATTTTTTTTTAGGTTTATGATCGACAATTCTCGATAATTTTATTCTAATTACTGCGCAGGGACATAAATGTAAGTTTTGGGAATGGGTAGATGATGAACTTCCTCTTAGAGTTACATCACTGATCAGTAACTTAAAGAATGAAAATGAAGCTCTTATATGTGAAAGGAATCTTCTGTTGATGAAGGTTGCCGAGATTGAAAGTGTCTTAGTAGGGGATGTTGCAAAAATTGAACATTTCAAGGAATGTGATGATGTTAAAGAGGTAAATGATATTTCTAAGAGAAAGTTGATGGAGGTTTAGTGTTTGTGAAGGAAAGTTGGCTGAAAAAATAGAATGTGATTGGTATGGTATGGTGTTGCTTCGTTGGTTTCATGTGCGCTTGGATGATGAAATAGATACTCTGGTGTTGGGCGATTCTGCTACCTTAAGATCAACCAAGGTTTAGGTGTAATTGACATATTTAAGTGATTACTTCCAAGCACTTTTCAACTTTGGAATTGCATGGTGATATGGGAATTGAGCAGTGCAAATTCATATGGAAGTGCAAAGAAGAAAAACAAGAGCCATACATTTTGCAATTTACATATTCAAGAAGGCAAAATGACATTCCTCACATGAAAGCCAAGAAATGCAAAATAAAGAAATTAAAGTTTGGCTTGATCATCTATTTACCACCCTCTTTCGCGTGGTCACAAACTTGATTTCAAGTTAGGTTCCTAGTTCATATCCTTCAAGTGGAGATAAAAGTGGTAAAGTTGACTCGCTTGGTGCCACGTTATTAAATACGACTCTTGGTGGGAGGCAACCCATCGTTTTTATTTTTTTGTCATTTTTAAAAAAAATTATTTTTGTTTTTCAAATTTTCTCTTTAGAATAGTTTATTTTATTATTTTTGATCAATCTACCAAGTTTAAGGAAGTTTAGAAGTGTTTGGGATAACAAGCAAGGAGATTGAGAAGTGAAGAAATAACAGTCTAGGCCTCAGTTGTCGTATTTGCGAACATATGTTCGCATTTGAGAACTTGGAGCCTACCGCAAAAGCGAAGTTGGAGTCACAGTTGCGAACTTTTCATCTTTCGCAATTCCGAGCTCTTTGTCGCAATTGCGACATTAGAGGTCTTAAATGGGTAACTTTGTTTCATTTTGAACAAAAGTCAGAAAATTTGGGGCTCTCAATAATTAAAGGACCTTCATCTTCCTCACTCTCCCAACTCTCAAGTTCCACCATTTTCACTCCTAATTGCAAGCATCTAGGTATGAAAGCTTAATTTTGTGCCATTTATGTTCTATAACATCATTTTCTTCTTGTTCTTCTCTCCTTGTGCTCTCAAAAACTAGGGTTCAGATTGATCTTTCTCTTCTGTGTTAAATGTTGTTGTAACTTCCGGGTGAGGATTGGTTAAGATTGTGAGATTCTTTCTTTGCTTAAAAATGAGGAAGTATGAGTACCCATAGCTTGTTAAGATGTGAAACGCATCTTGTGCCTTTAATGTGTTCGATGAAAGGCCCGAATATAATTCTTGGCCGAACTATTGAAATTTCTTCAATTCGTGGCTGTGTGTGAAGTTTATTGTATGATTTTATGCCTAAAAACTGATTGAGTTCTCTGAAAGTGTGCTTTTGTTCAAAATTTTTGGGGCTTGGGACTGCTCTGTGAGAGAGGGTGGCTGGGGACGATGAGATCGCAATTGCGATAGCCTCTGCGCATTTGCGAAGAGGTGATTGCAATTGCGAAAACAGTCAGCTCTGGAAACCTTCACAATTGCGAACACTGGAAATGTCTATTGCTTTCGCAATTGCGAGGAAAATATCGTAATTGCGACATCAGAGAGCAGACTTCTCCCGAACTGAAAATCTGAAATTCTTTTTTAAGGCTGGATTTTATCTGTCCAATCATTTCTTTGGCATATTGGACTCATTTTGCAGTATATTTCATAGCCATACCATGTTTTCACTCCACTACTTTGTTTACAGGTACCATAAGCTGAATATGAGCTCGAACTCTGACGAATTCGCGCATGACAACCCTTTGGGAGTAGAAGAGAACTATGACCAACACCGGTTCTTGTTATTGGAATGCCAGGAACGGTACTATGCCGAGTTGATTTCAAAGAAGTTGCTCCTGGAAAGTGGTATATTGCTGGAAAAGGTCCCAGAACGTCTTCTTGAGTTCCATCAGAGGCTTGTAGACATGGGATGGACTTGTTTTTCCCCTCAACCTTGCAGAGCGAATGAGCTATGGGTGAGGGAATTCTATGCTAACCTTCCAGCAATCAAGTTAAGAAAGCCAATCATGAAGATTCGTGGCAAAATGGTGAATTTCGGAGCTGAAGCTGTGAATCGAATCTATTACCTGCATGAACATGACATGGCACCATTCCGTGAGAAAGATTGTGCCTCAAGCGAGTGGTTGGTCTCCAAATTGTGCCCAGGTGCAGATGTTTAATGGGCAGCTGAAAAGAGAGTGATCATATCCAAAGAATTCACTGCCGAAACAAAGATATGGCTATCCATCATATGTAGTCGCATCTCTCCTACGGGAAACATATGGAATGTACCAATAACGAGAGCTCAGATGATAGCCTCCATTCTTGATGGTATCCAGCTCAATGTTGGTGAGACTTTCATCAATGAACTGAGGGAGTATCGGATTTATGAGTTGTGCCAAATTGCTTGGGTTGAGGAGGATCCGGAAGACAACTGAATAGAACCGGGAAAGCCTATTGCTCCATTGAGGAAAAGATGAGAGGGAGGCACCGTGAAAAGAAAAAAGAGAAAGTTGGGATCTTTTTCTCAGACCGACCAGGGTAGCCAACTGTCACGACCCAAAATTTTCACCTTCGGGACCGTGATGGCGCCTAACATTTCACTTGCTAGGCAAGTCAACGTTAGAATAATCTTAACCATTTTTAAACAAAATAAATTAAATAGAAGTCCATTACTGAAATAAAGTGCGGAAGACCATAACAAATGAATCATCCAAATACATCCCCGAATGTGGTGTCACAAGTGCACGAGCTTCTAGAATAATACAAATAAAGGTCTGAATAAAATTCAAGTTGTTTGAATGATAATACATAGCTAAGATAAGATAGAAGGGGACTTCAGAACTGCAGACGTTGTGCAGTTATGCCTCAAGCCTCCTCTGGGTAGCTGAATCCGAGCAAGTCTATGGTACGTCGCTGGGACCAACTCCAAAATTTGCGCAAGAAGTGCAGAGTGTAGTATGAGTACAACCGACCCCATGTACTCTGTAAGTATCGATCCTAACCTCGACGAAGTAGTGACAAGGCTATGACAAGACGCGTACGTAAACAAGCTATACAAGTATATATGAATACGAAGCAATAATAATACAATAAATAATAATTTATAAATTTGGGAGGGAACATGCGAAGGGGGATGATATAATAATTTCAGCAGGAGAAGTATTGCTTAGCAGCCAATTAATTCCTCAACAATAACATGAGCAACGGATAATATGTAAATGGCACGGTACCACCCTTCATACTTTTACTCTCATTCTTTCCATAATTTGATAAATAAATAATAATAATTGGCACGGTATCACCCTTCGTGTTTTTACACTCTTAGAAAATGGCACGGTATCACCCTTCGTACTTTTACACTCTCTGAAAATGGCACAGCATCACTCTTCGTGCTTTTACACTCAAAATGACACGGCATCACCCTTCGTGCTTTTATACTCTTTCTCACCATGAAAAGAATTGTATAAATAATATAAATGGCACGGTATCATCCTTCGTACTTTTACACTCTTCCACAATATTCAACAATAATTAAATCAATAAAAATTTCATGAATAATGATCAAATAATCAATAATAAACTTAAGAAGGAATGTCTTAATTAAATAAGCAATTATTCAAAATAAAATAAATTCCTCCAGCATGCTTTGACTCAACCACAATGCATAAGTACTCATCACCTGACATATTTGTTGTACCCGCATATTAAATCACGTAGCAAATAGACAAACAAATTCTACTCCCTCAAGTCAAGGTTAACTACGACAGTTACCTTGATTTGCAACCAACTCAAGATTCCAATACACCTTTGCCTCGCGAATTCGTGTCCG